GTGCTCAAGCTATGGAGCTATAAATAGAACCACTGGAAGAGGGAATCAGATGCCATGCCTTTTGCTAATAAAAAACAATCCGCTATTAAGCCCTCAGCTCATTATGGGTAAAGCACTGTTCACAATTGTTCACTAATAAGCACCACATAAATAAATCTGAGTCGTGACGCACTGCGGATCCAATACGGCCCCATTTTCCTCTCTCCAGGTAGACACTGGAGAGAAAGTGCCCATAAGCACTGATCCAAGATCCCCATTCCCATTCCCAATCTTAACAATAAACATGGGGGCAATGATCAGACTGATCCTGGACTAGAACTTTTCTGCCTGGGCAATGCAAGTACTGTACGAAAAGGTACTCACAAAGGGAAAACAGGAAATAGATTGTACCACCCCAACCCCCACCCCAAGGCAGATAAAACTCTTTGCCAGCAAAGAGGGGAATGTTGGCAAAGGCCTTCGGAAAGAATCACTTGGCTGGTTTCACCCGCTGCTGCCCTGCATTCAGGTGGGACTGTTTAGGAAAAGCATCCAGAGCTGACGTAAAGACCTATTCTTATCAACTGGAAATACATAGCTTTTATTGCAGTTTTGGGGCAGTATTGTGAAAACTTGCAAACAAGTAATTGAAGGCAAAGGATGACTTTTACAGGTATGCAGAGACCTACACAGGAATAAGGCATAATTTGCACACTATCACAGCTTTTATTCTGTGTTGGCAAGCCCTTTTTGAATGTGCGGTGATGTTTTTAGACACCGCATCGATTGCAGTAGGTGGATTTTGAGATATATATATATAGTATATCCTGGTGTAAAAAGAAAAAAATTCATGACAGGTCAGAACAAACTTGCTGGGTTAAAATCAGTACCTTGGTCTGACAGGCACACACAGTGTCCTGTGAGCTCACAGATCCCTGACCCGCTGTTGGTGCAGTTGTGGCTGTTGATGAGACATGTAACAAGCTAAAGAGACCCGTTCAGATCAGCACTGGGCTTTAGAGGTCAACGAGATGAAAGGAGGTCTCTGAAGGTGGGTTTCTCAGACTCTTTGATGTTATTGATCTGTGAGGAGTAGATGCGTTTCATGTTTACTTCCTTGTTCTCTTTCAGGGGAAGGGCACTCTCTCAGTGATGCAGAGTATCTCTGACAGCAAAATCCACCATGCTGTCTGACACTTTTTCTTATTTGGTGATACCATAAAAGAAGGACAGCAGTCATCTATTTTTTATCTTAAATCTCAGGTGATATAAGAATAATCCTTGATGCCTAGTATTTGTATTGCTGTAATACAGAACATCCACAATTCTAAAAAAAAAATTGTTTGCAGAGCCTCTGGGTTATTCTCTCTATTTACATATCAGTTCATTCATTAAATAATAACACAATTAGGAGCTTGTTAGCATATTGACGAGAGGCAGGCTCTCTCTGGATATGAGGAGGATTACAGAAATAAGAGACAGGTATTTATGGTACCTGTGTGGTATCAGGACCCAGAATGCATTGGTATTTTGATTTTAAATTGATAAAGTGTAAGTTAGAGAGAAGTGATGCACATAGGAAACTGAAGAGAACTTTGCTAGTTGACTTTTCTTACAGTTAACTTGACTCATTTAATGCACCTAGCTACAGAGCCTTTATCACCTGTGGATGTGTGTGTGGTGTGTGTGTGTGTGTGTGTGCGTGGACTTCATTATGTGGTTGTTGTGGGGTGTGTTTACTGTTGTCCCCTGCCCCCTTCATGTGTATATGGGGAATATGAGGAGAGGAAGGAGGTGGAATCTCAGCAGGTTGTTCTGAGCCCTGAGTGAACAGATCCAGGAGGTACTCTCAGTCCACATGCTGCTGGTGCTGGACCTCCAGGAAATCTCCAGGGATCATGACAGAGATTAGCGCTAACTGATGGGAAAAGAAAACAGAATGCTAAGTCCCACCTGGCCTCGCTGTGCAGGCTCATCTTCCCGGATTACGTCTCCAAATTCTCGGATAACGGGCTGTGCAAAGGAGCCTGGGAAATCCTTGACCTTCCATTACTATTATGCACCCCACACCAGGGCATGCATACCAATGCTCAACTCCCTCAGAGACACGCTATTGGCTATCTCCCAGTGACAGCCTTCAGTGCAGATACTCCACCACTTTGACCTCTTTCAAGTTGTTGTTTATTTACTTGGAAGATGCCCTTTTCCAGGGCAATTGGCATACCTCATATGTTTTGAAATATTATGTACTAAATATTATCTACTTTTCTACAGTGGGATGTTTAAAGCAATTCAGGATAAGGACAATACTTTGCTCAAGAGGGAAATAGGAGCTTCATATGTGGGATTTGAACCTGTAACTTGCTGAATATGGGTCTCCTCAGTCACTATGCCTGTTCATACTTGTATCTGCATCCTCCACTCCACTCTGTTGTCCACATCTAGGAGCACTTTCTTGGTGAGGCCTGTGGCACTCACCAGTGAGCTGTTAATTCCCAAATAATTGATCAGCTTCTATTTAGGAACTCACTCTGCAATGCTAATTAAACATGCCCGCCTTTGGGACTTCTGCAATCACATTTTGCAGTGATTTCTTATTTTCCTGATTGTTCTTAGTAATACTTTTTCATTAGCAGCCCCTACACTGGCTGGCTTATCTGCCTGCTGTTTAACTGCAGTGTAATCTCTCCGGTAGCCTCCCCCCTCACACACAATATCAGAGGCCAGAACTGACGGCTGTGCTGTATGACTGTGATGTGAGATTTTTTTGTAATATCAAACTTGAAAATTCAACTGGGGAATTTTATGGAGAGTTGTATCTGCAGTCCTCCAGATGAGAAGTTGAGATCCAGATGTGCCAGGTACTGACTACCTGAGCACTTGCTGTGCGTATTAAATATCCCACGGCAATTATCCAAACGTGTAGGCATGTCCTGGCAAAATACCTCTCAGTCAGGCCAACTAATCATGTCAAGTTTAATAAGCTATAATAAAAATACCTCCCTCTTCAGCTGATGTGTAGTCAGTATGCTAGTGCTAAAAGACTACCCTGTATCACTCATCTTAGTGCCACACATTGGTATAAAGTATGCTTAAATAGTTAAACAGTTTTCTGGGAAAAAGAAGTGCAGTGGTACAGTCATCGGTCCACATTGCTAAGATATTTGTTTGTGTGCCGGCTGGCACTGTATGTTTCAAAATGAGAGCTTAAAATTAATTTCCAGTCAAATGAAATTGAAAATTGTTCTGGGTGGCACAGAATTGTTTAGAAAAAATATTGGCCTTAAATCTGACAATAATTTGCAAAAAGTCATTAAAAATCAAATAACTAAAGGATTTAAGGAAATTTTAACATGCATTTGTAAAAGTAAAGCAGTTGCATAAAAGAACTTGGCAGTACAACAGATGTATAGTTTAACTGTAATAATTAATGTTCATGATTGTTACATTATTAAAGTTTAAATTTGACAGGTAAATTTGGGGTTTTTCACTGTAGCGATGTTGCCTGTAATGGTATTCCCAATATTAGTAGCTTTTAACTTGAAGGACAGTGCTGTCTATCCCCAAAACCCACAAGGGGGTCATTTATGACATAATTTAATGCTGGAGTTACAAAGTGGAAACAATTAGGGCGTTTCTTACCAGATACGTTCAGATACAGACTTTTGTGTTATGACAAAGCCCTTTATTTCCCTTGCAGACAAATAAACATGTATTCATGTAGCTTAACGTTAACCTGTGTTCTGAATTTTATGTTTGAAGTGAAGGGTTTAATCCACAGTGCATCCCTTCAACTAAACAGCATGTGAGAATATGAAAAAATGGTTGCAATGACTCACATAGACTCATATGTCATAACCTCAAAGGGGTGTATTGATACATACCCCCCACCCTGTGTGTACAATCGTGGACTCGACACTGAGTCTGTATAGTGTCTCTTCTTGTACGGACATTTGTAAGTGAAGAAAGGATGGCCCTCTTTCCTCCTCGCTTTTGTAACAAAACAAACCGTCAGGACATTGATTAGTATTCTGGTGGCTTTCCGAACCCCCTTCCCCCCTCCTCCCCCCTATTCTGAGCTGCAGCTAATGTAGGCTGCAAAGAATATTGCAGTATAGCATCACTATGGCAACAACCACATTCTGACAACAGTATACCAGTACAGCAATGCTGAAATTTAGGGCACCAAAGGAGGATGATTTGGACTGTGAACACTGCAGTGTTCAACAAGGCGACAAAAACACATATACACAAGTAAATATGTGAACATTTGTGTCTTTTCTTTGTGGAGATACAGTTCTTGCTTTAAAGTTCCATTCACCTGCAAGAGAATTTGTCTCCATTGCTCTGTGATCCAAATGAGTCACTGCCTCCTTTGATGTGAATAAGGCTTTAGGAAAGGGGATTAATATTTCACATAATTGCTCTGAACGAGAGAGCAGTCGTTAGCGGCTGTTCAGCATTGGAGATTATATGGAACTTGGAGCTGGTAGCAGGGGTTTGTCCCTCATAAAAATACAGAGCAGTAGTTACAAAAATGCAAAAGGTTAAATTTTCAAATTATAATTATTTTATCACTTCCTAACACTAAGTCAAAATATCTGTGAGAACCCAGTCTGTTCTGGTATGACGGTGGGCAGAGAGCACATTGGGAGAGGTTCTTTCCATGCTGCACTGGGTAGTTTGACTTGGAGGTGGAGGTGAAGGCTGAGATACCATGCTGATGGAGATCACTTTGTTACTGGTAGCTACTTGACTCTGTGGAGACAATATTGCTTCCACAATTTGCATGTTATTTTGTGAAAAATAACATCCTTACATTACAACACAAGCCTTCATGACATTACTTGTATTTAGCAGATGGTCTTATCTAGAGCAATTTACACAGTTTACATTTTTTGTACCCATTATACTACTATACCCATTTTTTGTACCCATCATACAGCTATATTGTTGCCCATTTATACAGCTGGATATTTTCTAAAGCAATTTTCGGTTAAGTACCTTGCCCAAGGGTACAACAGCAGTGCCCCAGTGGGGAATCGAACTGGCAACCTTTCAGTTACGAGTCCTACACATTACCACTATGCTACACTGCCACCCCGCGTTGCATGTATTTGTCCTCCACCAAGGTGTGTGTGACAGATAAGCCATCCATGTCGTCCAATACAAGCCCACCTGCTCTGGGAAGCTCTGAATCGGCTTTCGTGGTCGAATCCGTGTGTGTAGTGGGGATCCACGTGTATGAGGATCCTTGCTATTTCTCCTCTGTTGGTTTGATAATGGCTTTGAACATTCATGCGCCAGTGCCCCTGCATTATGTGGAGTTGTCTTTGTTTGAAGAGCGAAATCCAAGTGTTCACTTCTGAGTGGTATCGAGATGACAGGGAGAGGGAGTCTTCTGCTACATGCTTTAGTCCTGCCTGACAAATTATGGGATAAACAGTCACACTGCAGGAAACGTGAGGAAAATATCTCAGTCCAAGACATTCAGATATTCAGAATATCTAAAGGCCTCTTTCACATTGTTAGGAAAAAAACAACAAGTTAACACACAGAATAGAACATTTGCTCGGCTCAATATCCCGTTCTGATTCATAAATCATAAATCCCAATTATCTATGAGATGAGTAACAGACAGCACCATCCTACGGGCCTGTTGTCCAGCCTGGGCTTTGTGCTCTAATTCCTGAATGAGGAATGGATTTGTCAGCTTCTATTAGCACGCATCAGCCCCGATTTTTCTCTCCTCCCGCAACTGTCTCTGTCCGCTGCAGGTGTGGACACAAACACAAACACAGTCATTTCTGGTGATTCTTGAAGTCTATTATGTCTGCCTCATTACCAAACCCCGGCTTCCCAGGAAGCCTGTGCCAAAAGAAACCAGATCCTACTTTCAGCGTTGACTGACAAGGTCAAACAAACTCTGTTTAGGTGTCGTACAGATCAAATATTATCAGGTATGTTGTGTGTGTGTATATATATGTATGAACATATGTAGCCTGTAGCTATCTGAACATCCCTGCAGTTTTGTTCTTCCTGCAGGCAGATACATGATGATATGAGCTGTGCCCTTCAATATCAATTATTATGGTTTATTTTCTGATGTCATTTGAGGGCTGAAATTTGAATTTTAGTGAGCAAAAACGCTGCATGAGTAGTTTTCCTCAAGGACATGGGAGGTCACATATGGCAGAGGTAAAGGCATTTTGTACCTGGGTCAGTACAGTGCACACTCCTCCACTCTATACAGTTCTGTGCACACTATCACCAGTGATGGGCATTCCAGGAGATTCCAGGAGGTGTCAGTGTTCCCATGATGTTTACATCATAAACTGCAGGGGTGCCTAATCAAGCCCAGCATGGACAGGTTTCGTGGAAACATGTGCCCCCTCCTCCTTACAAAAGAGAAATGAAATTTCGCTTTACCATTTTACTTCCCATTCCTGGTAAAAGGAGGGTAAGTAAATATGTAGATATTACATAAATTGCTTATGCTGTGTGTTAATATCAGTTGATGCACTTATAATCTTATTTTCAGTCCCTTACTGAGGGTGGGAATTTGAAGGTTTTGAAGGCATTATAGGCACATATTTCTCAAAGTCATCCAACCCCCGGCATGGTCACCAGCTGCCAGCACATCTGTAATGGACTGCGGCCCATTTCACGATGCGGGCGTGCCCACAGTGTCAGTGAGAGAAGAAAACATGAGTGCTTCTGGGAACCCAACCCCAAATAACCATCAGTGGATGTGCTCTTGCTCCACTGCTTGATTGATTTCACCACACACTCCATAGCCCTGTGCGTTAAACACAGTCAGAACACCTGTTTGCTGTGGGGGGAGTCCTTTGTGCTGAGGAGTACAAAGGTGCCATTAAGAGACCTTCCTGTTGTGACAGAAAGTCAGTTGTCAACATTAGTGGGCCCTGACAGCGAGGAGAATGACTCCTTCCGATTTCCACACACTGCTCGTTTCAGCGCTGTAACTCAAGGTCAGGACATATGAACAGAGCATGTCCAACGTGCAGATGCTACATACTCGAGGCTTGTTATTTTGTGGGTCAGTGCTGCACAATGTCTGGGCAGGTTCACTGATCTTTATAATATGTGCATCGGTTGATGCAGTTGGCTTTGCAGTCAGCATGAGCCGAACAGGATGTTTTAGAGGTCAGTGGGTCTGTGCAGCGCTGATCTGTGAAAAAAATAAAAACAGTATTGGCAACACGAGTGGGAAATACAGACAGTTAGCCTGTTGAAATCATTAACACAACATGTGTCTTTCAGTGTATTGGCATGCATCAGTATATTACTGATTATGAATGTGCCCCCACCCGGAATCTGCACCCTTCAGCAACTTCCCTAACCAATATGCCAGACAGGAAGTACCCGCCAGCTCGCACAAGAGGGTGACAGGACATGAAACAAGTGTCTGGCCTCAGTCAAACAGGTAGTTTGTCTAGAGGGAGGTGGAAAGCGCATGGTGTCGGGGATGGTTAATGTCATGGCACCACAGGTGACATTGATCAGCGCCTTGAATCCGCTGTCCCCCACGGTGGATAACTCAGCCGAGCGCCGGAGCAAAGGGCTGGCACACAGCCAGTCCACCTGCCGAGCGCGGGGCACCAAAGGGATGCCGAAAACAGCTGGAGTAAGTGTCAGTGAGGCTGTTTCAGGACAGGGTGAGCTTAGTTGAAGGCACTGGACTCCGTCTCCCGGGCTTGATAAGCCCTTAGAACTAGTCCACCAATTCAAAGTCTTGATAATGCTTGAAAATCACACTGTTCGCAGAAACACTGCTTAAACTGAAATCTTGAAGGGTGAAAAAATCCTTGTGAAAAAAACAGCTTTTTATGTCCAGCACACCCTCCTGCACATGCCTTTGGGGGCTCATATAAAAATAGTAAAAAATGACTGACTTGCAGCAGTGAATATAAAATGAAGTATTCACTCCATTCCAGTTAATTTACTGGAGAAAGGAAATGAAAGGGAAAGTTCTCTGCCCCTGAGATGGTTTGGTGCACTTCATTTGGTGCACTATTTGCTAAGAAACAAAATTAATACATTCATTTTGAAGTGCTTCTTTAATAAGGTCCTCATCTTTTATGTGTGCTTTTTTGCATTCTGTCTTTCTTATTTTCCTTCTTACTCTCCCTACTCTTTGCTACAGTTCTACAGGAAAGTCTACAGGACACATTTCATTATTTTTGAAGGGTTATTTTTCATTGGCTTTTTTGGTAGTCCCTTACTGCTTGCAAAATCCTGCAGTGAACAGGAGAGAAGGCAGTAAAACTGCTCGATATCCACCCGCTGCTCATAATATACACGAAGGAGCTATTACCTGCACTCTGAAGACCTAACGTACAACATCATCTTACATTAAGCTGAGGGACATTTTAGCATGCACACACTGATTTTCTCTATCAGCTGTGGCAAACATGTGGCAAACATGAAAAAGTGATTACAAGTGGGCCAGAAATCTTTGCGAGAATGCCAGCCTTTAGCCTCAGAGAGCTACATCCATCTCTCTGCATGGGCCAAGGGGTTCCAGTGGATCAGGGCTGTAATGCCCTAGTGTGCTCATTCATTCAGAATACCACTATAAATATCAGTATATACCACAGTGAAATAGGATGCATTTCCTCTCTTTGTAATTGATGCCGCATGCCATCTGGGTGATGTATCACGCTCACCAGTGGGGCTGCGGTGATTTGCCATCTTTTCCCCCCTGCTTAGCTCTTTGATGAAGTTATCTGTCATGTTGAAAATCCTGAAAAGCGCAAAGTGCCTGCCTTGTGTACCAGTATTACAGGATCACATCTGACCCTTTGAAATTCACAGCTTTGATCGCACTATGCTTAGACAGAGCCCTTGTGCTCTTAAGAGATTCCTAATTCCTTGAATATATAAACGTATCATATTTAATAGTTGAAGTCCAGAATGTTTAGGAGATCACGGAAGTAGCAGAAGAGATAGAATCTTAATCTCAACACTGTATTTGAAATAACTACACACAGAGAATTTGAGCTACAGCTACATGTTTGGCAGTAACAACAAAATCAAAGAATTTGATTATAGCTTTGCATAATCTGATGTATGAGAAAATATTGAATGATGTGATGAGAATATATGAGAGCAAGATTTTTCAGTGGGACAATCCATGCGGAAAGCTGTCAGATGCTGCTCCCTTCCACAGAAAGCAAGAAGAAAAGCACCAGTAGGAATTTGACAGATTACATTGGACGAAAGTGGTTGAGGATGGGCGTGCTGAGATCAGGCAGTTCAGCCATATGGCTGCTATTAGACGCTGCAACAATAATTTACTGATACTTGCTTCCTGAATCTTGAGCTAATGTAGCATATGGTAGTACTAGAATCGCAGAAACCACCAGGGCAAAACTAAACAGATTAACTTTCATTTCCCAGGCTGAGCCTTCATTTTGTCATTTTACAGATGAATGATTATGTCTTAATTAGATGAATTTTCATATCATTTTTGAAAAATATGTCTGATAAATGCTGTTGAATGGACTCAGTTCATATGTGGTGTTTCCATTCAGTGAATAATTTAATAATTAAAAGGGGAATTTCAGGATTTTTTTGATCAGCAGAACCCCACTATTACAGAATATTCCTATAAAATGGAGTAGGAGGTTGGGCTAATAAGATGAGAAGGTAAAGGTTAGTAGTTACGCTACAACTGTGTTACCATTTGAGCTAGTTCTAGAAGTGCACACAAAAGTACATTTTTGTGTGCCCTCTTGTGCCACCCTCTGGTCAGGTAAAGCAGCGCAGTTTTTCTCTAACAGAGAGTACTCCAGTCTTGACCTACAGGGACTGTTTGTTGATGAACGCTGTCACTCCAGTGCCTTGGAGCCCCCTGGAGGAGCTGGAAGGACCTGCTTTGAGTCGGCTGCTGAGAGCAGAACTTGTTTAAAGAGAAAAGGTCAGCCAGGACTTGTGAGCTTTACCAAGACACCATGCAGCCACTACCAGCAGGACAGTCCAGCATGTTTTAACTGTCATCACCTGATGGTTGTGGGCCAGTTATCCACTGAACAAGCGCTAGTGGCCTTGTGTGCATGGGCTCATTTAATCTCTA